TTTGGTATATACATGTATATACATGGTTTGGTATATAGATGGGTTGGTATAGATATGGTTAGGTTCAGATATGGTTTGGAGCTATGGTTTTGTATATACATTATTTGGTATAGATATGGTTTTGAGCTATAGTTTGGTATAGACATGGGTTGGTATAGATATGGTTAGGTTCAGATATGGTTTGGAGCTATGGGTTTGTATAGACACTGTTTGGAGCTTTGGTTGGGGGATAAACACGGTTTGGAGTTATGGTTTGGGGATAGACACAGTTTGGAGCTATGGTTTGGTATATACATGATTTGGTATATACATGATTTGGTATATACATGATTTGGTATAGATGTGGTTTGGAGCTATAGTTTGGTATAGACATGGTGTGGAGCTATGGTTTGGTATATACATGGATTGGTATATACCTGGTTTGGTATAGATATGGTTTAGTATATACATGGGTTGGTATATACATGGTTTGGTCTAGATGTCTAATGTGAGGATAAACACGGTTTGGTGCTATGGTTTGGGGGATAAACATGGTTTGGAGCTATGGTTTTGTATATACATTATTTGGTATAGATATGGTTTTGAGCTATAGTTTGGTATAGACATGGTGTGGAGCTATGGTTTGGTATAGACTCGGTTTGGTATAGATATGGTTTGGTCTATACATGGTTTGGTATAGATGTCTAATGTGAGGATAAACACGGTTTGAAGCTATGGTTTGGTATAGACGTGGTTTGGGATAGACACGGTTTGGAGCTGTGGTTGGTATAGATATGGTTTGGAATATACATGGTTTGGTATATAGATGGGTTGGTATAGATATGGTTTGGTCTATACATGGTTTGGTATATACATGGTTTGAAGCTTTGGTTTGGTATAGACATGGTTAGGTACAGATATGGTTTGGAGCTATGGGTTTGTATAGACACTGTTTGGAGCTTTGGTTGGGGGGTAAACACGGTTTGGAGCTTTGGTTGGGGGATAAACACGGGTTGGAGCTATGGTTTGATACATGGTTTGGTATAGACATGGTTTAGTATATAAATGGTTTGGTATAGACATGGTTAGGTACAGATATGGTTTGGGGCTATGGTTTGGTATATACATGATTTGGTATAGATGTGGTTTGGAGCTATAGTTTGGTATAGACATGGTTTGGTGGATACATGGTTTGGTATAGACATGGATTGGTATATACATGGTTTGGTCTAGATGTCTAATGTGAGGATAAACACGGTTTGGAGCTATGGTTTGGTATAGACATGGTTTGGAGATTTGGTTGGGGGATAAACACGGTTTGGAGCTATGGTTTGGGGGATAAACACGGTTTGGAGCTATGGTTTGGTATAGACATGGTTTGGTATAGACACGGTTTGGAGTTATGATTAGGGGATAGACACGGTTTGGAGCTTTGGTTGGTATAGATATGGTTTGGAGCTATGGTTTGGTATAGACACGGTTTGGAGCTATTGTTGGGGGATAAACACGGTTTGGAGCTATAGTTTGGTATAGACATGGTTTGAAGTTTTGGTTTGGTATAGATACGGTTTGGAGCTATGATTAGGGGATAGATACGGTTTGGTGCTTTGGTTTGGTATAGATATGGTTTGGAGCTATGGTTTGGGATAGACATGGGTTGGAGCTATGGTTTGGTATAGACATGGTTTGGAGCTATGGTTTGGGATAGACATGGGTTGAAGCTATGGTTTGGTATAGACATGGTTTGGAGCTATGGTTTGGGATAGACATGGGTTGGAGCTATGGTTTGGTATAGACATGGTTTGGCGCTATGGTTTGGGGATAGACATGGTTTTGAGCTATGGTTTGGGGATAAACACGGTTTTGAGTTATGGTTTGGTATAGACATGATTTGGAGCTATTGTTAGGGGATAGACACGGTTTGGAGTTATGGTTTGGGGATAGACACAGTTTTGAGCTATGGTTTGGGGATAGATACGGTTTGGAGCTATGGTTTGGTATAGACATGGTTTGGAGCTATGGTTTGGTATAGACATGGTTTGGAGCTATTGTTAGGGGATAGACACGGTTTGGAGTTATGGTTTGGGGATAGACACAGTTTGGAGCTATGGTTTGGGGAAAGACACAGTTTGGAACTATGGTTTGGGGGATAGACGTGGTTTAGAGCTACTGATTGAGGATAGACGGGTTGGAGCTATGGTTTGGGGGATAGACGTGGTGTAGAGCTATGGATTGGAGATAGACGGATTAGAGGTATGGTTTGACAAGTTTAGAGCAACTATAGACAACCTGCAGCCTAAAAACCGAAATGTAAAGATTTTTGTTATCCTTTATGTAAACGTGAAAGCAAGCGGGTGTAGTGAATGTCTTTCGATGGGCGTGTACATATCATTGTTTACACGATTCCTAAGGATTGATATATCAACATAATACGACTGCTAGTCACACATGTCTTACTAAAGCCTCTATTGAAATATAGTCTTTAATCGCATCTAGGTATTTCAAAACATGTGCTGATCAATGCAAGGGGGTGCGGTGCATAAATACGGGAAAAGTGCAAAGCGAGAGTCGCTGTGTCGCCATAATATCCTGGCGTAGTCGCCGTCGTATTACCGCGTTGTCGCCGCATGACTTTATTAGTGATGTTATTCTTCCTCTTTTTAGAGGATTCCTCTGTTTTACTGTTTTCCCATTAAGTTTCTGAGGGAATGAAATGTGTTCCTACTGCTTCACTTTGATTTCCACATCCTCCAATCACATCCAACTTCTATTAGTAGACTTGTTTATACAAATGCTCATTTCAATTTATCAAACAATATCTAAAAAGATACACATTAAATGACACTGGAATGCCAAAAACCCCTGAAATGATTAAAAACATATCAGGGAGAGTAACTAGAAGATCCAAAAGATGTAGAGACGTTAGCTCTCATGACGCTCACTCCCATGCCGCTAACTCATATGACGTCACCTCTTATCACGTTTACTCCCATGACGTTACCTCCCACGACGCTAACTCTTATGACGCTAACTCCCATGAACATAACTCCCATGACATTAACTCCCATGACGCTCACTCTTATGACGTTAACTCTCATGACGTTACCCCCATGACGCTAACACCCATGACGTTACCTCCCATAGCGTTTACTCTTATGACGCTAACACCCATGACGTTACCTCCCATGACGTTTACTCTTATGACGCTAACACCCATGATGTTACCTCCCAAGACGTTACCTCACATGACGCTAACTCCCATGACGTTTTCTCCCATATGGTTACCTCCCATGACGCTTACTCTTATGACGCTAACTCCAATAACATTATCTCCAAAGACGCTCACTCTTATGACGTTAACTCTTATGACGTTTACTCTTATGACGTTTACTCTCTATAACGTTAACCCCATTACGTTACCTCCCATGACGCCTACTCCTATAACGTTAACTTCAATTGCGTCACTTCCCATGACGTTAACTTACATAACATTAACGACTATGACGTTAACTCCCATGACGTTAACTTATATAACATTAACTCCTATAACGTTAAATCCCATGAAGTTACCTCCCATGACGTTTACTCCCATGACTTTGACGTTAACTTCTATGACGTTAACTTCTATGACGTGAACCTCTATAACTTTAACTCCCATGACGTTAACATCTATAACGTTAACTCACATGACGTTAACTTCTATAACATTAACTCCCATGACGTTAACTTCTATAACATTAACTCCCATGACGTTACCTACTATGACGTTAACTTCTATAACGTTAACTCCCATGACGTTACCTACTATGACGTTAACTCCTATAACATTAACTCCCATGACGTTACCTACTATGACGTTAACTTCTATAACGTTAACTCCCATGACGTTACCTACTATGACCTTAACTTCTATAACGTTAACTCCCATGACGTTACCTACTTTGACGTTAACTTCTATAACGTTAACTCCCATGACGTTAACTTCTATAACGTTAACTTCCATGACGTTAACTCCCATGACGTTACCTACTATGACGTTAACTCCTATAACGTTACGTCTCATGACGCTCACTCTTATGAAGTTAAGTCATATTCAAAGTGTTCAGTACCGTACGTTGTTTTATTATACCATTAATATTAAAAACTAATAACATTTGTTTTACTGTTGTATATATTTATCATGTTAAATGTAACCAGATGCTAAAACTGACTCCCCAAATCACCCCGTCCTCCCTACCTTTTTGTCCTGTTATCGGTTATAACCGAAACGAGAACGTAAAACCAGTTGGTTCCGGTTAGTATACAGACTGTCTCGCCATCTGATAATCAATTTAGGATAAATTATGCATTCAATATATTAACAGCAAATACTCTTAATACTTAAAAACAGATTTTATGAGTTGAGTAAATGTACAACTCACAACTAAAGATCGAGCGAGCTAAATGTAAACCTCCCTTTTGTGAGGTAAGTAAATGAAAACCTCCCTTTTGTGAGGTAAGTAAATGTAAACCTCCCTTGTGTGAGGTAAGTAAATGTAAACCTCCCTTTTGTTAGGTAAGTAAATGTAAACCTCCCTTTTGTGAGGTAAGTAAATGGTAAACCTTCCTTTTGTGAGGTAAGTAAATGTAAACTTCCTTTTTGTGAGGTAAGTAAATGTAAACTTCCCTTTTGTGAGGTAAGTAAATGTAAACCTCCCTTTTGTGAGGTAAGTAATTGTAAACCTCCCTTTTGTGAGGGGAGCAGAAGTCAACCACGTGTTTAGATATTCACCCAAGCTTGAAACGTTTTTCTTCAAGAGCCTTAAAAGTGAGACTGATGACACTAGTACTACGAAGACTATCCTTGCTTCATATCCACAACACTCGATCACTTACATAACAATAGGTCGTACACTGTCCCAGTTCTTCCCTCGATGCAATGTTAACAACACATTTCCAAGTTTCAGAGCCGTTTTGTTTGACAGAATTTAAAGTGTATTTGATCAAACACTTGAAAATGAAATCCCTAATTTTTTTTCTAGGGCGACGGGATACACAATCCTACTTTTGTAAACGACAATGGAGAGGCGGAGAGGGTGAGTACGATTAATTGGGTTTGTAGGAAACAACAAAACTTTCATTCTGTGCACAACAATTCTGTTTCAACCTCTTTTAATATTCTTTGAATCTGTATTGAGATACTCAACTAATTTCATCTTCCTTCAGGGTTATGTCAAACCGACGGCAAAAGCTGAGGAGGTGGATCCCTGGGAGTTACCGGAACTGCAAGACACGTCCAAACCTTTCAAAGGTGAGCAAACACTAGTGCATGGTCTTTCCCTAACAATGGGTTGGGTATAGGTCATCAAAAGTTATCAACATCTCCCATCATATAATTCAGTATTATTATGACATTGAAAACTGACAAAAGAATGATGATACGTGAATTACCATCTTTTATAAAACTGCTCTATTAAATGCAGATTGTTCTATTATTCGGAGGATTAAGGTACGTAGACATGCACACCTTGACACGTTGTGTTTGGATAAGCTTGATATAATGCTTCAGTTACTTCATGTATGCTATGCTTGTGTGAAAGTTTAGATGAATCTAACCTGAGTGGTACCGTATACATGTTATGTTTGACGATATTGGTATATCTATTTTCCTTAGATGACATTTAACACTATTGAAATGGTTTCTTTTTATGATTCTTAAGGGTATCCTGGAATTATATTGAAGGTTTGGTCGAATGAATTCCGTCTTTTCGTATTGCAGAGTATCTGATCTTGTGAGCAGGCATTGATTGTTACGTCATTTGTTTGTGGGAGTAAGTCATACATTTTTGAGAAAACGACGTAATTTTCTCACGCAAACTAATGACGTAACAAGCAATACCTGCTCACAAGAGCAGATAACTCTGCAGTACGAAAAGACGGAACATCAGTCAACAGTTATCTAGTTATTTATTGCACGTATCTCTATTTAGCTGAAATGACAGAACTTACTGCTTATACTAAATAACACAATGCTAGCCTTTATGACACTGAGTTTTTTTGCTGGAAAATATTGTTAATGATGCTACATTTAAACGATACTTACTGATCATCAAGATTATGCTTGAGTGTTATTGTGATTTCATGTAACGTCATGCTTAAAACAACAACTTACCTGTGCTATTACTTTTGACCGGATATATCAGAAGAACGATAACGGTAAGGACGTTTTCCTTTAAGACACTTCAATCATAAAGTACTTTAGCGCGCGTTTAATGTGTAACTATAGGGTTTATTGCGAATATCAACTATGACAAAAACAATTATCTTTGTAACTTCCAGAAATGAACAGCAATGAGAAAGTGGTGTTCGTGTTGTGGGTGATACTACGGATACTTCTATTTCTCTCATTCCTTTATCTCTTCATCTGTTCCTTGGATTTCCTCAGTTCGGCATTCCGACTCCTGGGAGGTAGGTCATTGTCTACTTTACAGATGTTATTTTCAGTTTATCTACCCGATAGCTTGCCCTCGCTTTAATAGGTATACATATATGATTAATTTAACGTGTACAAACACTCGGTATAGTACGTGTAATTGTTATATGTGTACTGTTCCAACTTAATTAAAAATAAGACGGACTTAGCTCTTTTATTTCTATTTCACTTTCGCTCTAACATATAAGTCTGCTTGTTCACTGTCCATGTTTGTTGTTTTGAATCAGTCCACTTTGAATCAGTCCACACTGTTTATTTAACTTTATATTTACAGGAAAAGCAGCTGGCGAGGTGTTCCGGAACAACGACATCCTTCGGAACCCCGTGGCTGGTGTCATGATAGGTGTTTTAGCTACCGTTTTGGTCCAGAGTTCCTCCACCAGCACGTCCATCGTCGTCGCAATGGTTGGATCTGGACGTGAGTGTCCTTTCTAGTCACACAATTACTTAGAGTTCCCGAAATTAGATATCAATCCTAGTCACGTATGTGGCCTTGTCATAAAAGTATAGGTTATCCGGATATAATTATTTGTCCTAGTATCAGGTCAAGGTCATTCAAATTCTAATTATTTTCTGGAAAGTGGACTTATATTTGTACTCATTATCCTTCATTTCCTCCCGATTTGTTTTTATAAGTTTCGCACTATTTCAGCTGAAGACAAAAAGCTAAATATTTTGAAGACAATGATCTTATTTATATTTGCTATTATTTTCGATATGGTATTCTTCCAGTTGATTGTCATCTAAACATTTCTTCGATTAATTGTCAAATTACTACCTTTTATGCTATATTTATCATTCTTCCCAATGATAGTGGTTTATCTATCCTTCTAATTAAGTAAATATCAGATAATTGATCCCCTAATAAACTGTTACTAATTTAACTTTTACTGATGTCGTACTCTCTCTTTATTTGTCCACAGTCCTTGACGTTAAGACAGCCATACCTATCGTGATGGGAGCTAACATTGGTACTTCCGTTACCAACACGATAGTTGCCATGGGACAGATCACCAACAGGGACGACTTCCGGCGAGCATTCGCTGGGGCCACTGTCCACGACATGTTCAACTGGACGAGCGTCATCATACTCCTTCCAATAGAGGTCATCTCAGGTCAGCATTCATATCGCTTCCTTGTTATAATCAAATTTAACTATTTTGCATTTTTGCTTCACTTAAAAGAAGAATATTTTGAGATGTGACGACATAAGAGTGTTGATATTATTGAGAGTTAATATAGGGTACGAATCATTATGTGCAATTAAATGACAAAAACGTCACAAATCACTGACCTGTGTTATATATATTTCAGGATACCTGTTCCGTCTTAGTGGGGCCATTGTAGACAGTCTTCATCTGGAGAAGTACAAGGACGGCAAACAGGACTTGCTAAAAGCCATCACAAAACCTTTTACCACTAGAATTGTTCAGGTGAGTTCAAATCCCTTTCTGTAGTGATACGCGTTTGTTAATAAAACGGTTAGCCGCTACTACAGATACCGGGATTTAACATACTGTACTAACTAATGTAAAGTAACCCAAGGTAAAACTGGTACCCGGGGTCGATTTTCTCTGTTCAAAACCTACCTCTAACCAGTAAGGACTGACCCAAATCTATTGAAAATGGACCTACTGTGGTAGAACTTGGCATTATATAATAAATACAGCGCACTTAAGAGTACTTCAAATATAGTAACACCATCAAACATGTGGTTTCTGTCAATTATAGGTCCATTTTGGCATGTTGTACAGCGTTATAATGGAGGAAATTACGAACAGATCGGGGTCAATTTCAGAGGCCACTTCGATACTAATTCATTTACGGAGAAAATTTACCAAAGGTATCATTTCGATGGAAGTCACATTTCAACGGTACAAGTACTTCCTGGATTTGCACTCATCCCAACTACGATTGTTAATACAATCGTCAACATGAACAGCACTGTATCGGTATCTCTCGATTCCACCACTAATAAACAATTTCGTGCTGTTTTTCGTTTGGCACCTCTAACCAGAGTTAACCAATAGACGTATTGTCTTAATTCAAAATCTGTATGAAAATGGTGGCCCCACAAATCATTTCAGTAACGTGATACAAATTATCAAACACAAAATATATTGCTATGTTTTTAAAGGTCGACAGCAAGGCCATCCAGAAGATTGCACACAACGAGGACGTTGACACGCTTCTCAAACTGTGCTGCAAGTCCGCGACGCCGGACCCTGTTAACGTCACCGACGCCAATGGCACGTGGTACTTAGAGGAACAGAACAAACTCTGCGTTACACCATGTAAGTGCAGGGTGTCAGGAGTCTCGCTATTTCCAAAGACGATACGATACTATTACAAGGGATTTTAATGATAACAATAATCCCAAGTATAGATATTTAGTTCCTTATTCATATATGTGACTTATACCATCAAAATGAAAGAAGACTTACCAATGCTTTGGCTGGTATCCGATTCCTATGACTTGTAAATTTAGCGATTTTTGGGACGAATATACTTTTTGTTTGTTTTGGTCTCGCCTCCATTCTGAGAACTACTTTATCACTTAGTAGTGAGATTCATCAACATTATGTAAACGGCGTATTATGCTGAAATACAATTCAATTAATGCATAACATATTATTGGTTATATAATCTTTCACATTCAGAATTATTTCTACCTAAATCATACACGATGTTCGCACGGGCTAGTTTGATTTTTATTGCCATTTTAACAGAACCAGATAAACATGTCTTCCTTTTCTTTGCAGGCGAATTTATCTTCAAAGACGTGGGCTTGGGGGATACAGGAATAGGAGCGATATTACTGGTCATTGCGCTTATACTTCTGTGCGTCTGTCTGTTCGCCATCGTCAAACTGCTGAATTCTCTCTTAAAAGGTAATATCAGGAAAATAATCAAGAAAATCATAAACGCCCAGTTCCCAGGAAAATGCGCATACTTCACTGGTTATCTTGCCATGGCTGTGGGGTGTGGACTGACCATCCTAGTACAGTCCAGTTCCATCTTCACGTCGGCCATGACACCACTGGTCGGTGTCGGTGTTATCAGTATCGAAAGAATGTACCCGTTGACCCTGGGATCGAACATCGGTACAACAACCACAGGTATCCTAGCCGCCCTGGCACAAGATGCTGACAAGATCAGAGAACCTTTGCAACTGGCGTTCTGTCACCTGTTCTTCAACATTTCGGGCATTGCCCTTTTATATCCAATTCCGTTCACGAGATTTCCAATCGCTTTAGCAAAATTTCTGGGAACCGAAACTTCCAAATACCGATGGTTCGCTGTTCTATATTTGGTGTTTATGTTTTTCCTGCTGCCACTGATTGTGTTTGGACTATCTCTGGCTGGCTGGAAAGTCATGGCTGGTGTTCTCATTCCAATAGCTGCCATTATCATCGTTGTCTGCATCATAAAAATCATTCAAAGAAAGAAGCCTGGTATACTCCCAAAAGTCCTTCGTAACTGGAAGTTCCTGCCCCTAGTGTGCCGCTCTCTGCGGCCTGTTAACAGAGTGATGCAAGTGTGTGTGTGTAAATCGTGCCCTTGCTGTGCCGAGACGACAGATGCCAAGTTTCCGTCAGATACCGAAGTAGAAACCACCAGAATATAAATTGAAGAACTGGTAGCTGATTGCTAAACTTTAAAAATCCATGACGAAACAAACTTTCAACAGTGTAATAAGCAAAGTGATGTTTCGTGAGCATTAATAATTTCATAATTAGAAATACTTATTTAATGTAATACCAATTAAATGCTAACCTTAATGAAAAAATATTCTTCTTACATACATGAAAGGTCTGACATATTTGAAAGAAAGAAATTCTATCAGTTACTTATAATATCACTTTTATGGACAATACATTTCATACAAATGTTTCATCGATCTGTGCTGCAAATGTCAAGAACATCCTTTGATTCTGGTTGTTAAACATATCAACTGTCAGTTGCCATTCCCCGGAGATATAGCGCAGCTCTCCACTATAAGTAGCTAGACAATCACTTGCTAACGCCTGGTAATATAGGACGGATCTCCACTGTCAGTAGCTATTTCCCGGTGATATATAGCAAGGATTTCTACTGTCAGTAGCTATATCCCGGTGATATATATAGCAAGGATTTCTACTGTCAGTAGCTATCTCCCGGTGATATATATATAGCAAGGATTTCTACTGTCAGTAGCTATATCCCGGTGATATATATAGCAAGGATTTCTACTGTCAGTAGCTATCTCCCGTTGATATATATAGCAAGGATATCCACTGTCAGTAGCTATCTCCCGGGGATATATATAGCAAGGATTTCTACTGTCAGTAGCTATATCCCGGTGATATATATAGCAAGGATTTCTACTGTCAGTAGCTATCTCCCGGTGATATATATAGCAAGAATATCCACTGTCAGTAGCTATCTCCCGGTGATATATATATAGCAAGGATTTCTACTGTCAGTAGCTATCTCCCGTTGATATATATAGCAAGGATATCCACTGTCAGTAGCTATCTCCCGGGGATATATATAGCAAGGATTTCTACTGTCAGTAGCTATCTCCCGTTGATATATATAGCAAGGATATCCACTGTCAGTAGCTATCTCCCGGGGATATATATAGCAAGGATTTCTACTGTCAGTAGCTATCTCCCGGTGATATATATAGCAAGGATATCCTCTGTCAGTAGCTATCTCCCGGTGATATATATAGCAAGGATATCCACTGTCAGTAGCTATCTCCCGGGGATATATATAGCAAGGATTTCTACTGTCAGTAGCTATATCCCGGTGATATATATAGCAAGGATTTCTACTGTCAGTAGCTATCTCCCGGTGATATATATAGCAAGAATATCCACTGTCAGTAGCTATCTCCCGGTGATATATATATAGCAAGGATTTCTACTGTCAGTAGCTATCTCCCGTTGATATATATAGCAAGGATATCCACTGTCAGTAGCTATCTCCCGGGGATATATATAGCAAGGATTTCTACTGTCAGTAGCTATCTCCCGGTAATATAGCACGGATCTCCACTGTCAGTAGCTATCCTTGGTGATATAGCATGGATCTCCACTGTCAGTAGCTATTCTTGGTGATATAGCACGAATCTCCACTGTCAGTAGCTATCCTTGGTGATATAGCACGGATGTCTACTTTGTCAGTAGCTATACATGGTTATATAGCACGGAGCTCCACTGTCAGTAGCTATCCTTGGTGATATAGCACGGATCTCCACTGTCAGTAGT